GCCTCTTGAGACCTAGTGGAAAGACAGTTGTGTCATCCTGAGGAGTCGATTGATGGTTCACAGTTTGAATTTGATTATCTTTAAGGGGAACTAAACAAAAGATCATCACTGGCTTCTCTAAGTGGATTTTATTCTCCTGGAAAGTTCCTGTTTTCCTTTCTACACAAACTGAGCCTGTAAACATCATGCCTTTCTTCAGGAGAAGCCAGGGGAGTCTCCGCTGTTTTTGGAACCAAAGCTACAGTGTGAGGGCACCTGGGTGCTCCCGCAGGGACTCCCATGTGGGCAGCCTGCTGTCAGTTCTCAGAAGCTGTTTCCATTGCAGGTGGGAACTCCCGAGGACGGTTTGCCCTGGGCCTGGTGCAGAGTGAGTGGAAGGTCTATGTGAAGAGACCTCTGGATCGAGAGGAGCAGGACATTTACTTCCTCAATATCACTGCCACTGACGGGCTCTTTGTCACCCAGGCCGTGGTGGAAGTGGCCGTCAGTGATGTGAATGACAACAGCCCGGTGTGTGATCAGGTGAGCGTTGTAATGGGAGCTCTGCTTTTACCCTGACTTGCTCCTCTAGAGTTGAATGCAAACGGCTGTGCCTCTTCTTCAGTCCAGGCAAACGTCTGCTCCCTGTCGTTTCCTCGTTAGACAGAAGAGCGTAGGACGTTGAGGCTAGAGAGCAAGCCAATTCGGTGGAATAAATAGAAATGATGGGACTTAGGGATCAACTTTTAGGTAATTCATAAAGGGCTTCATAACTCCTATCTGGCTGACTAAAAGAGAAATGGAGCACCCCGTTTGGCAAGCTACCTGTTTGCCTGTTATACAGCCAACAGACGCAGTGTTGGCCCTGAGTGGGGGTCTCGAGATCCCCTGAAGTAACTCTCCCACTGCTGAACAAAAAGCACAAGGCTAACTCGAAGCTAGATTTTTCTTTTCTTGACAAAATTAAATCATCATTAATCTACGTGTTCTTACCATGTGGATCAAGAGATGATATTAATGTTTGGGGTCTTACAAAAGTACTACAGTACGACTCAGTCTCATGCTAAGGCCAAATGTTACCTATGGCTTGTTAAAAGGTAGAAGCAACTCCAGGCTCTTCCGTTCTTCACAGAGATGGACAGTGTGATGCGGGATGCATCATCGCCCAGCAGAGGGGATGTTTCTTTTTCCATTGTATTCTTAGCAGCCACACTATCTACAGCATTTTCATACACAGTAAGTGATCAGAAAACGTTTTCACTGGAAATGGGAAGGTTAGGGAACCGGGTACACGTTGTTACACTGAACACTGCGATGTGGCCTGTGGTAAAGGAAAGAAATGGGGAACGCAAAACTGTATGATGGAATTTTAAAGAAATCTGCTTCAATGATAACCGTGGCAGTCGTACCACACACAGTAACGATTTACCTGGTATATCACTATTTACAGTGACTGTAACACATTTACCATGGTGTAATGCTATCTATGATAGGTATACTGCTCACAATAATGATTTATCTGGTGTATCAGTATTTACAGTGACTGACACACAGTAAAGATTTGCCCTGTTATATTGATAACTTTATCTACAGTGTCTGTACCACATATAGTAATGATTTACCCTGGTATGTCAATATCTACAGTGTCTGTGCCACACACAGTAATGATTTGCCCTGGTGTTTCCATATCTACAGTGACTGTGCCACAGGAAGTTATGATTTGCCCTGGTGTTTCAATATCCACGGTGATTGTGCCACAGGAAGTTATGATTCACTCACTTTTGCTCTTTGCCCAGGTTGTATATTCAGCATCATTTCCTGAAGACATTCCATCAAATAAAATCATCCTGAAGGTCAGTGCCAAGGATGCGGATATTGGATCCAATGGAGAGATACGATACTCACTCTATGGATCTGGAAACAGTGAATTTTTTCTAGATCCAGAAAGTGGTAAGGTGAAATTGATTCTTTGGGGAAATGCTATTATTTATCCATGAGAAACATTATCTTCTCCTGTGGTGTCGTCATGAGTAGACAGGTGTGCAGTGAGAGCTGTGGTATGAGGCTGTGGGGTGCTGGACTCTGAGATGTAAGCACTACATGGTGCTCAGATGTGGAGGCTCTGGGCTACACAAACTTGACTAGGGTTAGAGTTAAAGTTCTTTTTTCCCTCCCTCTCTCCCTCCTTTCCTCCCCTCTCTCCTCCCTTTTCCTGTATTTATTAGCACTAAATCAGCACACTTTCTACCTGTTTCTCACACCTGTGAATTAGGACTAGTCTTAAAAAGGGTAGAAGCGGGACTGCAGAGCTAGCTCAGCGGTTAAGAGCCCTGGCTGCTCTTGCAGAGGACCTGGGTTCCATTCCCAGCACCCACATGACAGCAAACAACCATCCCAGGTCTAGGGAATCTGGCGCCCTCTTTTGACTTTTGAGGACATTGCATGACATGGGTGCACCTACCTACATACAGGCAATGCATTCATGCACATAAAATTTAAAAAATAATTTTTAAAAATGGGTGGAGGCAGAGTTACAGGACAAATGCTGGTTTCCATGCAAATTGCAGGGTGGCACTTAGTGGGTTAGGGGAGTCCTTCATTCTGAAGAACCTTTGGGTCCCTTCTGAGTCTTACTGGCACCGTTGCCTGGGTTTTATTAAACATCCCTGCCTGGTTTCTCCAAAGCTGTGAGCCCTCCAATTTCCTTGCATATTCAAGCAAAATTTACAAGGTAAAAGGTTATGTAAACTAACTTCAGATGCCTGAATTTAAAGCCAGAGCTAATGGAAAAGTCATTTTTCTATGGCAACAAATTATTTCCATGTTATGAACTGGGCAGTTCCTCCAGTGGCATTTTTAAACGCCATGGGAAGAGTGAACAGCTTGCACATTTCCAGTGTGCACTCCCCCCAGTGAACTCAGCCTTCAAAATCAGTGGCTCCCTCTTGCCCTGCATGGTTCCCTCCAGGAAGCATCCACTTAGCTACAGGAGAATACGCTACTTAGCTCTTCCGGTCTGTGGCTGTTTATTCAGTCTACTATTTATTGAAAAGTTGATGGATGTGAAAGCACTTCCTGGGCTTTGTGTGGTAGACTCCAATATACACGACAAACAACGCTCAAGGGACATTGTAATCCAGTAGGAGGATGATAAACGGGTAATTAAAGAGAGGCAGAGCGAAAGGGGAGCCCAGGAGAGATAAAGGGGGGCATATACACGTAGAAGTAGCTTACTTTCTGATCAAAGAAAAGAGGAAACTGAGGTAAGATTCTAGGGATTGGAGCCAAGTGCTGCAGCTTCCAGGGCAGCAGAGCAGCGAGAGCATGGGAAAGTGGTGGGGGGCAACTCTAGGCTGACCACGCAGGGTCTCGAACCTCTCCCTGAAAAGCCCGGGACCTTTTGACTAGGAGCGTCTAATGACCCTGTGTGATCTGTGCTCGAGGAGCTGTTGTGTGTTCAGGGATGCCGTAGGAGGAGCTGCCTGGTAACTGTGTGTGTTGCTCCACATGATGACCAATGTTCAGAGTAATGAGAGTCCGCTAACAGCACTTTGCACCAAATAGCATTTGCTCAGGCCTGCCATTTTCTATTGACACACAACCAAGAAATCTTCCCAAAATCTCCATAAAGGGTGTGTAACAAAGCCTTATTTTGGAGGAACAAGGAGACCAGCAGGAGGGACACACAGGGAAGGACAAATGCTGCACATTTTCTCTCATGTACAAAATCTGGATTTGAATCTATACACATGATTTCTATATGGCATGAAAGCAGAAAGGGAAGTGTCTGAAGAGAAGAGCGGACCAAGGAGGAGGAGAGGAAGGAGAGGGTAAACAGCAGCAGAACATACATGAGGGTGTCATACTGAGAGCCAGTGTTTGTACGCTAACTAAAAAGAACTCAATAAAGAAAACCTCTCCAGCAGGGCTGGTGCCCCGCACCTGTGTGGCTTCGCAGGCTAAACTACAGACATTGTAGGTCACATGCTGCTGTTCTAAATTCCTCATCCCCCATCCGAGCCCTTCCCAAGCTGGGATTCTTAGACTCTATAGTAACTGCCTTCCTGGGTGCTGAAGCTTTGTTTGGGCTCGCGGTCCTAGGGTGCAGTCCATCGTGGTGGTAAAGCCCAGGCAGCAGGAGGTTGAAGGAGCTGGACAGATCGCTTCCACGGTCAGGAGGCAGAGCTAAAAGCTAGAGCTCAGTCCAGGATCGCAGTCCTCCCGCATGTAGGGTGGGTCTTTCCACCACAATGAATTTAATCAACACAACCCCTCATAGACAAGCCCAATTTAGGTAATCCCTCTTAGATGTGTCAAGAGGCTTGTCTCCTAGGCAGTTCTAGATCCTGTCAAGTTGTCAACCAGTGTTGACCATTACAGGGCCCTTCAAAACATCTCTTCAAGTCAGCCTGTTGGTTTCTCTCTTAAAGGGTCAAATGCAGCGTATCTGGAGGCAGGGAGACTGTCGATCTGGGTCTGTGGTGATGGACCAAGTGGCCACCACACATCAACAAACATCCGTTCACGCACTGGGGGCATGCCCTTGTTGCCAAAAGAAGCCCCTGGAAACTAGGTTTTGCCAAGGGATTAATGAGCTTGAAGGTCATGCAGTCGGTTTGTTGTTGCATCTAAAACCCCATGATATTTTCCCTGATGCAAAAAAAAAAAAAGAATTGAACTTTCTGTATTTTTCAAACTATAAAGCACTTAAACCATGTGTCCTTGCTATTTCTTGAATTTAGAATTCTTTATATAATTGGTTTTCTGCTTTTCCATGAGAAACCATTTTTGAAAAGTCAGACCAACCATGTTGCCATTTCTTTTCATAGGTGAATTAAAAACTTTGGCCCTGTTGGACCGGGAGAGGGTCCCGGTGTACAACCTGATCGCCAGGGCCACTGATGGGGGTGGGCGATACTGCCAGTCCAGTGTACGCCTGATCCTGGAGGATGTGAATGACAACCCCCCTGTGTTTTCTAACAACCACTACACTGCGTGTGTCTACGAGAACACAGCCACTAAGGCTCTGCTGACCAGAGTGCAAGCAGTGGACCCTGATGTTGGTGAGTCAGTGCTCTGGCCAGGCGGCTCCCAAAGTGGCACGCTGTCTCCAGGAGTGTTGTCTGTGGGTTTGCAGAACCCTCCCCTGCGCAGTCAGCCAGGTCGCTGCTCCTCAGCCAATGTTTCTCCTGTAGAAAGAATTCCACCAATTGTCGTTCTTCTTCCTCATGGAGGATTATGGAAGAAGATCCAGGATCTTCTTAGGGAAGATCCCCACCTTGTGGGGGAGGGCTTATTTGGTTTCCTTTTTTGATCTTTTGAATAAAAATAATAATTTCTTACATGCCCATTCTATCTAAACATAATTAAAATACTGTGTTGTGTAGCAAGGAGAATTCATTTCCATTTCTATAAAGAAATGAATCATAGACTTCAGCTGAAAGGTGACAATCTCGATTTATTGTAGCACCGCCCAGTGCAAAGACCAGTTACTAAATGTGCTGCCAATCCAATGCGAATTTTTAACTGCCATTTTCCAGAGTCTCTATTTTTGTCACATAAATGGACGTCACTAGGCAGAATGGGGGTGGGGTGATAAGAAGGCGTTAGAACTGAAAGTTGCTAATAAAGTTTATGTTCAAATCCTCTTTACATAATGAGATGATGCATTGGAAAGACTGCAGTTAATTGCTAGGTGGACCTTCCGAGGATGTATAAGTTATTGAGGTGACTGTCTGATGGGATATAAATACAAAAGGGCACGCAGAGCCTCTTGGTTCTATGCGTTAAGAGCTGCAAATCAGAGGCCTAGGAAATGATGGGGTGTGTCTGTTATGCTAAGCAGGCCTTTCTATAATTCAGTGTCTTATTGCTTAATTCTGAATTGAAAGAAAGATTATTGGACTAATGGAAAAGTAAATACATGGTAATTAGCTGAAAATAGACGTAGAGCCCAGGGTCTCTTCATGTCTCCCCTTAAAGAAATTAGTGGCTACACTTGAATTATTGCTCTGACCAACATTAACATAATTTTAAGGCTGAGAACCAACCCTTTAAAAGCACGTATATCATTGTGAAAAAAATGGCAAATAGGGAAAGACTGTTTATTGGTATATAATCATATAATAACTGCAAATATTCTTTTTCAAAGGAGGATTGCAAAAATCCTCTGGACTCTTATCAGAAGATTTGGGGGGTAAAGAGAACAAAATTAATGCTATTGAGCCTTTTACTAATTTTAAAATTGATTTGAGAATGTGTAATTAGCCAATAGATGAAATTTTAAAAGCTGAACACTGAATTTTGCCACCCATTCCCTTCATAAAGAAACCAGGTTTGTTCAAGCTGTGGTTGACAGATGTAACCTTGGAACTGTTTTATACACTGTGATAAAGACCACACACGAAGGTACCTACATGTCTCCCCTTCTTTCTCTTGCAGTCATCTGGCCAGGCTGGGAGATGGGGTAGAAGGAATGTGTAAGCGTTGATCATGTTCCAGGACAGGGATGGACAGATCTCAAAGAATGAAAACTGCTTAGAGGCGTCATTAAACCTCAGCTCCTCAGTAAAAGGCTTGCTTATGTGCACAGCTTCACATACAGGCTAAGGTCTTGGGTGCTGTAGATGTCTGTGTACAAAGTGTACTCACCAACCAGCACATCAGCCTCGGGAAAATTCTAGTAAGGCCAGAATCTTGTTCATTATCTCAGTTTTTGTCAATCTCATCTAGCTTTAAAAATAAAATGAAATGGGGCTGGAGAGATGACTCAGCGGTTATGAGCACGGACTGCTCTTGCAGAGAACCCGGGTTCAATTCCCAGCACCCACATGGCAGCTACGAACCATCCTTAACTCCAGTTCCAGGGGAATCTAAACCTCTCTTCTGACCTCCGCGGCATTGCACGACATGGGTGCTCTCACATACATGCAGGCAATACACTCATACACATAAAAAATAAAATATGCATATACATATATACATATATAGTCATATATACATATATACATGTAGATACATATATATACATATATATGCATATATATATATATAAATAAAATGGGGCTGGTGAGAGGACCCGGCAGGTGAAGGTGCTTACTGCTCAGTCTGGCAACCTGAGTTCCATCCCTTGAACACACGTAGAGGAGGAAGGAGAGAACCGACTCCAGAAAATTTCAATGGTAGAAGAGGAAGAATGAGCGTTTCTCTTAGAAATTCAAATAGAGTGCATATCATGCCCCAGACACCGATCTGAGGAAGTGTCTATGAGGTTTGGGTTAGAACTCACAGTGCTATCTGTCTGAGCTTCCATCACATAAATGCTGGCCTGAATCCCTGAGCATAATGACTAGTGACTTAAGATATGGTCCTTAGTGGCCCTGGTAGGATGCTGGTCTCCAGAGTAACCATTTCTCTGTCTTTCCCAAAGGAACAGAGACTGGAAGAAGCTGTATACAAAGATTATTAAGTGGTTGAGTGAGGATGAGGATTTGTTATGGGGCCAGATTAGCCCGGTGTATGGGAGCTGAGTTCATTCAGGAGGCTGGGAGGCTGAATCCAGCCTGTAATGTGTTCAGTTTCCTTTACACAGTGTTGCAGAGGGTTTGAATTAGTGATCATTGTATAAGTCAGATTTTCATTAGGAATTTGGATTTCTAGCACATTATAAAATTCCATGTGCTCAGGACTCGGACTGCACTAAACAACAGTTGCCATCTGATAAGGGGCCACGGGGCCCCCTCTCTACGGGTCAGCCCTTTGCCAGCTCAAGGTGCCACCTGACCTCATCTGTAACTCCTTTTGAATGACAAAGAATTTCATGACATTTAAAATATTGCATATTAAAACAATTATAGATTTGCAGGGTTATACCTTTCATCTATCCCATCCCCCATTGGTGATGTCTTGACTAACTACAGAACTCTTATTAAAACCAGGAAATTGATGTGGGTGCTCCCCACAGGGTGCATTCACCTGTCCTGGAAGTGTACATGTTTTCACATGCAATCATAGCACTTACTCAACCCCACAGTCCTTCCACTACCCTCATCCAGCACAAGGTGTCCTCACATGCCCTGATCACCATAGCTACCTCCTTCCTAATCATCACATCCATATCTAGTTTTCTTCTTTAAAAATGTTATTTAATCAAAATCATGTCATCTGTAACCTTTTGAGTTGGCATGTTTTCTCTTGGCATAATTTGCTTAAGATCCGTCTAAGTTTTTGGGTTGACCTTTGGTGATGAACACTGACTCTACTTATATGAGAGACAGGGCCATTTAGTTCATGAAACTTCTGTTAAGTAGATTGCTTTACTTGAAGTTGTAAACTGGTAATAAGACATAAATGTTTGCATCCCTCTAAGAGGCCTATGTTGTAATCTCATTCATAATGTATGGGTGTTAAGAGATGTAGCCTTTGCGGGGAGAGTAGGTCACAAGAGTGGGGGGCACCCTAAGCGGTTTTTACTGCCTTCCCACAGAGGCTCAAGGGAGCCTGTTAGCTTCTCTGTCCTGAAGGACACACGGAAGACCCTCTCTTTGAGGACTGAGCCTTCCTCAGACAGCAGAGCTGCTGGTGCTTTGACTTTGGATATTCTATCCCCAGAAACTAACAACTGCCTGGTGCTTATAAATTGCCATATAAAATATTTTGTCATAACAGTCCAATGGACTTTGACAGTCACCATTTGCTGCATTATGTTCTCATCACTAAACCTTGTGGAGAAATGACAAGATACTAATCTGAATCTGATTCCATAAATCCCTGAGTCAATACACTTGCTATGGTTTTCTCGGTTTTTAAATACATTGTTTCTTTTAGCAAAATGGCTCTTTCCTATGAATTATTCATAATGAACTAAAACTAATATTGTAAGAATTTCTTAAATCAGGAATAAAACAGAAGAACAGATAGTCTTAGTACTTGTTTTATGGGTTCTCAGAAATGTTAACTGCCTAGATTTTAGTACTAAGCACTTAGTTTTCCTATAAAATGAAAATATCCTCTATCCCATAAAGTAGTGACATGACCTACGACCCCAAACTTAGAAATGTTTAATCTTCTCAGCAGACAGAAGGGACTCATTTCCTACACTGGCTCTTTGGGGTTAACATGCTATATTTAGTGTACTTTTTCAGCAACAAGAGTTGTTCCCGGGATTCCAGTTTTGAGAGGTTCTTTAGCAAAAGAAATGTGCAGCATGAAGAATTCAAACAGAAAGTCTGAGACCATTTTAGACAAAGTGACATAAAATTAAAGTATAAATTTGTACTGGAAAAATATGCCACAATCCACATTTTGAGAACAGGCTTATTTCCAGACACTGAAGATGTGAGTGGGCACATTGTCTTGTTACAGAAAAGGCACGTGAAGAAGGGGCCCGTGCTAAGGAGGCAGGCACTCCTTTTTTGTAAAATATTTCTTGCAAGATTTTGATCAGAGAAGCCTACAGGCTCAGAACACACATCACAGTTATTTCCGATTCCATTTAGCACATAGTTAGTGAGCAGTGAGGTAACAAGCACTATAGAAAGGGCATCAAGACACTACAAGATGGGGCTGGAGGATGGCTCAGCAGTTAAGAGCATGTGCTGCCTTTACAGAGGACTGAGATTCAGTGCCCAGCACCCTGTCGAGTGACTGACAACAGCCTGTAAACCCAACTCCAGAGGATTCAATATGCTTGTTTGGCCTCTACAGACAACTGCACACACATACACAAATAAACACACAACTGAAAATAAAATAAATCTTAAAAAATAATAATACAGAGAGGGTTGGCTAGACTGAAGTAAATTTTAAAAATCTCAGTGGCTTAGTGTAGGATCCGTTTAATAACACTCATGTGAAGGACAGGTCAGTGCATCCAGAGACTGGAAAGTCCACCATCTTCTTGACCTTTGGCCTCCAAGGTCAACAGAGCAGGGAAAAGAGGGGTGATGGTGCCTGCCAGCTCTCACCATCAAGACGGATCTGCATCAGCAGTGGCATTGCCTGATGTACCCATGGAAACAGAAGGGAACTCTCCATCTCTTCATCATCTCAATGGTGAATTCAC